CGTATATCTACCATAATATTCACCACATCTATCAGATCAGACAATTTTAATATATTTTTTACATTGTTTCTCCACTTCAGCCTTGGAAACTTTAAAGACATCCAAAGCCTCATCCTTAGAATGAAATAAATGGAGACACATATAACGTGAAAAATCGTCAATGAAGGTGATGGAGTATTTTAGATTACTTGTATGCATATTTGAACTAACAAATATCTGTATGTATTACCTCCAACAGGTTTGCGCTCCTTTTTGCACCCCTTTTAGACTCGTTAGTTTGTTTACCTTTAATGCAATCCACACAAGTTTCAAAATCAGTAAAATTCAAGGTACCAAGTACCATTTCATTTGCTAATATTTTAATTCTCTCAATGGAGATATGTCTCAATCTCCAGTGCCACAATATACAGGAATCTTCATCCATAATATATTGTTTACTACCAGATTATCTTGAATGTGTAAAATAGTTGGGCAATCGATATTTTGCAAAAATGACCATCACTCAAAACTCCAAGTCCAATGACATTTGATTTGAAATATAAACTAAATTTTGAGTTTGTGAAATTAAAACAATTGTTACATGAAACTAGTTTTGAAACAAAAATCAAGTTTCACAAAATTAAGAATGTAGAAAGTCTTTTCTAAAGTTAAAACAAAACCACTACTCAAAACTAGATTGCACATTTCAATATATTCCATATGTAATGACATCTTGTTTCCGAAATAGATGCTCAACTCACTCCCCATTAGTTTTCGCCGGTTTTGCAATATCTGTATAGAATTCGTAACATGAATTGTGGAAACAGATCAATCCATCATGTATCATGATTAACGTTAATCATATTCGATTCATAACATATAAATGAAAGTTGGATATCTTTCTTCTCAAGCCACTTGAAGGATTTAGGATAATTTTTCTATATGTATCTTTCTTTTCACAAACAAAAATACGTATTGACTTTCTTGATGTCCTTTTGTGGAGGAATCTTTTCATTCCCTTTGTATTTTGGTTTGATGCTTCATTTTCTTTTTTTGGCCACCAACCGCTATGTTCACTTTCTTTTCCTATTCCACAGCCAGAAGTCTCTTATCTTAAACACACATGGTCATCAATTCATTTATTGACCATTATCCTTATATGTGTTGTAACTTGTAAGAAATTTTAGAAAGACCATATTGCGGAGGAAGAGTACACAAAATAAACTACGAAGGAATCAAACATATCAACTTTCAGTCGCTTCAGTTGATCCGCTATATTCCTCATGCGCCTGATGTGATCACGCACACCTCTTATCCCGGTAAGTTTTAAGGATAATAATTGCATTATCAGGGTACTAGCAAGTGTCTTATCAAATGTTACGAATTGATTATTAATAGCTTTCAACAAGGCATAGAAATTAGTAAAATGCTCAACAAAATCTCTTATTCTAGCTGATATTCGAGTCTTTATGAATATAACGCAAAGACGGTTAGATCTCTTCCATTTTTCATAAAGATCAACCTCATATGGAGTGCTATTTTCAGTAATAAGAGACAATTCATTTTTCCTGATGGCATAATCTATGTCCATCCACAATAAATGCAAAAGGAATTCTCTCATTCCGAACTTTATAATTGTCTCTATTACGATCGGGAATATTAGATTTCATATCAGAGGCATTAATAGATTAAATTGTTACAATAGCAAAATAACCATGCTCAAATCGTAATTAAATCAAAATACAAATAAATCATATAACATGTTTTACCAATATAAGATATGAAAAAGCATGTCTGTGGGCTAAAGTTTTAATTCGATGAAACTTATTTAATCATATGCTAAAACTATCAACTATGTTTCTTTTTTAATTGCAGTGGGTAAATTAGAAATTAGCTGATATAATATCCTAATTAGCCATACAAACATAACAAAATTTTTGTGTATAAATTTATTGTATTATGTATAATTAATTACAATTTATGTTATTTACTTATGTGCGACTATAAATATAAAATATAATTTCATTTGAAAAGGTGTGGTATTTCAAGATTAATCAAAACTATAGTAATCATATAACATTTCAAGAAAATCGATCTCGTAATGATTTTCAACATTAATTTCTCAAAAATATCTCAAACCAAAGAAAGCTGTCTTTTTTTTTCAAAAAAAAAATAGAACATCAAGACAGAGGTAAAAATAGGCTCTGATACCAAATGAAAGCATAATAATCGATTCAATGCGAAATATAATCAAAGAATCGAAACTAAAATAAACCCCAAGAACATATCTCCGGCCATTGGTGTCAAACTCGAATACAATGTTTTCTTGGTTCTTCTAAGTACTTGCACTATTTTTGTAAATGGTGTAGACGTCTTTATACAGTGACGATTAGGGAAACAAAAACTATAAACGTCATGTCTTAATTACTTCTTTCCACCAAAGAAGTAACATACATGTTTTAAGAGAAGTTTAATGAAGAGTAGAATTGTGAATACTTTTCATATAAACCAACTACTTAACATAGACCATATTAATATTATTTGAAAAATAATTATACACTTTAATTTAATTTTAAAATTTTAAAATTTTAAATTTTTAATAGACTAATCAGTTATTTTAATTTTAATCTATAATTATTTTTATTACATATAATTAATTTCACTAATACATTCTTAATTATTTAGTAATTACACCCTTTTTAATTTCCCGTGTCTATACTAAAGCGGACATAATAGCCCAGACGAAGGGAGTAACAGTAATAAAGAGTTATACATAGACCATGTTAATATATTCACAGAGCCGATAATGTTTTAACTCCTTAAAAAAAATAAATTGTGTTACAACAAGATGTTTTATTAATTTACGTTGACATATATACACAAAAAAAATACTAATATTAACTTACTATACAACTTAATATATTAAGAACTAAATATTTTGAAAAGTTTTTTGATATTTTCACCATGTACAATACCAATAAAATATAAGTAGCGGTTGGACTTGTAATCGTGAGGTCATATGTTCAAACTTCCGACGACTTAAGTCATCTGTCATATATGGTTCGCCTAAGGTGACTTTCTCGTCGAATCTGATTTGCAGAGTACAAGTTAAATAATTATATTTTGCTCATATTTCGTTTACTATTTTCAAATTAGATAACTAATTCTATGTTCTACCTGGATTTATTATTATAATGTGCAACAAATCCATTATATCTATTTATTTTGATTTTATTCACATCTTAAAAACATTTTAAAATATTTTTAAATTAAAACTATATTAGAAAAATATATTATAATAATGAGACCAAAATAAATATGATTCTATTCGCGATCTTTAGAGCATACACTTTTACTTAAAATGTAGGAATTCAAATGCCAGCTGTTACTTCCAAAATAAGAATGATGATGAAATGACACGTGGCGAGAATCCAACCGGGCAGTTCTTCAACGATTGATTTCACGACAACTGACTCGACGTTGAAGAAACTTGAACGAATTTGGGTGTGCTTCAGATTCCGGCCGGAGAAAATTTCACATAGATCATCTCCCTCTCAATTTTGTCGTCAAAATTCAGCATAAAACCGTTTTGATTGATAAGCGTCTCGCCATGTTGCTCTTGTAATTGCTGCGTCAGACGTGTCGTTGCGTTGCTGCGTGTATATATGTCCGAGAGCAGCGCTGGCGGCGGCGGCGGCGGCGATGATGAAGACGGAGAGCGGCGCAGGGACCTAAAAGGGAAAAAGGACCGAGTATTTGGGGAAAGGAGTAGAAAGTTAATTTCGTTCCTGTTGGGAAAGGGTAAGAAGTCTTCGTGTAAAAGGAAGCTGAAGGGCATTTCGGTAAATTTGGGGTGTCGGTGGATAAGGTGCGGCGGCGGCGGCAGTGGTGGCAAGTGGTGCTGCCTGAAGGGGCCGCCGTTGTCTCTGGATTCCTCAGTTGGTGAGTCGCTGACAAGTGACCCTAACGGTTCGGCTTTTATTTTTGGTACGTTGAGAACGCTTATAGAGAAGAACGACTTTTACTCCAAAGAATGCAATCCCCATGTGAGTGTTGATGAGAAAGACACACGAGGGGTGGAATGATCGGAGTTGGTTCTTCGTTGTGGATCCTGCAGCCTGGATTTTGTTGTTGAGGAATTATTTGGTTTGAGTTCATGGCTATTTGTGTTTATTCTGAAAATTGCGATTTTCAGTTTTTTTTTTTTGTTGCTTGCATATCAATGATAGAGAGTAAATCCTTGTAGAATTATCATTATATCTAAAGATGGAAGAATTCTTATCTTTTTGAATGATTTGATTTATACATGTGAACGTTTGTGCACTATGTGAATTACTTGCTGAGAATTTCGAAATTTGGATTATGGATTGTATGATTTGGGATTGGATGGCTGAAGTTATTGCATCATTGATGCTCTTGGACATGTTTTTGGTCTAAAAGCACTTTATTTCAGAAGATACATTGGCTGCTTATGCTCAAAATAGCTGGTATTGACGTGTTTCGATTGTGTGCAATTCTGTTGAAGCTTTGAAATCAGCTAAAATACTGGTGGATTGTTTTCTTTGTTGCAATTCTGTTGAAGCTTTGAAATCAGCTAAAATACTGGTGGATTGTTGTCTTTGTTGTTCAATGATACAGAGCATGATTTTTTGAGTCGATCTGTTGTCTGATGAGCATCGTAGCTTGCTCTTTATCATTTGATGGATATTAGATGTAGTGGCAAGAACTGGATTAAGTTTACATCCAAGAAATGGAGCTCAGTGATAGAATGTTCTTTCAAACAAGTTTAGAGTTTTTCTCAACATTGAAGGCTTAGATAAAGCTAATCTTGCTTACCTCTTGTTTTGTAAAAACATGCACTCTCATTTTTGTCTTCTCCTTGTCTGAAAGAGATAACGAATGCAAGGTCTTTTACAAATTCATGCTATAGTTCTTGTTTTGAGAAATGCATTGCCAGTGCCACACCTGTAGTGTTTGCTTTTTCATTTTCTTGTACACTAAACTTTAAACATTCTTTTGCTTGCTGGATTCAATTTATCAGCGTGAATGAAAAACTTATGCATACTCTGCCTGTTAATGTTTTTGGGAGTTAGATTATCTCAAAAATGTTGAAAAGGCAATTCCAGCAAGACATCCAGATGAGGTGATTCCATTGAAAAATTTCTAAATTTTCTGTCGGAATACTCTGCTGTATCTGTTAAATGATGAGTACTCTTTTCCATTGCAGAGCATTAAAGGAGAGGGTTGTTCTGCTGGACTGGACTCCATTGAACTTGTGATCAAAGATAAGCAACAAATCCTCTTTCCTCAAAAATTTAATTTAAAATCATTGGTATACAGTATATGAGCTTTATGGTGTCCAAAATTAGTTTAATTTTGAACTCATCCTGACTGATGGATCATATTTGGTCTTTTCTCCAGAATAGTAGCCAACATAATTAAGTAGGGGACAGATCCTATCTGTTGCTATTACTAAATCATAGCTACCCTTCAAATTATTATATTCCCACTAGATCACAGCATATCTTTTACATATTCTTATGAATACTCTGTTTGCACTTTTAAAAAATTGACCAAATGATTGTTCCCGAAGCAAATTTATGTAAACAACAATAACAACAATTATAATACTACTAAAAATAATCACTGTAATAATTCAAGTGCACTGGTCCAGTAGTTCCACTAACCTTTCTTTAATCAGTGTGCTTTATGGGGTGGTTATTGAGTGGAAGCCAGGTGTTTAAGCCTAACTTGGGATGGGGGGAACTTCTGTCTGGATTTGTGTCATGTAAAAATAACTAGATTCAAAGATTACAAACATCCATACTTCACTACTTCAAGTTACTCCCAGAGGACATCAATTTCTTGATGTTATCCATTGAGAATAAATAATGGGCAGGAGCAGGACACAGATGTATGGGCAAGGAGGGTTACTGTGGGGCAGGTTCATCTTTCCCTGCAATAAAAAACATACACACACACACACAGCATATCAGCCACTAGGAACCCATGTGACCTCCATCCATGGCTGATATCTGCCATTTTAGGGATGGTCTGCTGCACAACACAGACCCTTTATATGTATGTATTTGTGAGTGTATATAGTAATTGAAGGAAAATATGAACTTATCACACGCACTTCTTCCAGATCAATTGAATTTATCATTAAAATACTCCCGTTTATTGTTATGGCAATTCAATCTATTCTTCATCCTCTATCTGTTCCCTCACAGAGGTCCCCACATGTAGTTGGATAGGTCTTACCTTGAGGCGAAGATAATATAGTATAATATTTGCCCTTAATTGAATGGATTTGCCTTGCTTTGCTGTACTGGTGTGTGCTGGAATTGGATTGACTAAACGTATCTGTTTTAATATATTTCGGGGTAAACTCCAAAACCCTCCATTTATTGCACTCAAAAAAAGTATTCTGGAGTTGAGTAGATGAGCAGATGGACTGTCTGCAGTTACCCTTCTTGGCTGGGAGGCCTGCATCAGAATTTCACGTGCAGCCCGCATCCCATTAATTGAAAAGCTCTGTGTTTTTTAATTTTTTTTTACTACTCACTTCGTTTTCTGGCAGCTAATCTTGATATATTTTGGCTGCTTTCCCCAATTGGGCGACAATCAAAAGCTAGGGTTACTGGGTTTCCCCCAACTGTCAAAATTGACTATTTTGGGAAAGATAACTGAACCGCCTCCCCTCGCCCGCCCCGTCACTCTGATTGGGTTTCCTTTTCCTTCCTGGTAAAATTCAAAGCAGCTATTTTTTACACGCATACGGACATCTTTGTCCGTATTGATACGTAGAGTCTACAGTTTGATTACGCGGGACTGTGGTTTGGCCATAGGGCACGCACCCTCTCTCTGCTTTGGGGAATGTATCGGGTCTTTATATTGTAGTTTGGTAAGTGCTTCATTTTGGAGAGGGAAAGAATGTTAGTTTAATGGGAGGGGTGGTCCATATTTGTGGCTTTGGAAGGATTGAGGGAGTGAGGCGGTGTGATCAAGGTTTGATTTGAGGGGAGAGTGGAATTCGATTTCATTGGGTTCCATATTTGAGGTTTTCCAGTTTCGAGCTCTTCGACTAGTGCTTGTATTTGTTGTTTCGAGATTTCTTATTGAAACCCGAGTTTTGGCTTGCAGTGAGAAAGACAACAAAAGTGGTCGGTCTTCTTTCTTTCTTCTTCCTTTTTTATTCTTCCTTCTTTCTGCTTCTTATAGCTGCTCTGGGTTTCTTGAAATTAATCTTTTTCTTGTGCCTGTCCCGTGTAACGAGGTAAGCTGTTATTCATAGTATGCATCTCGTGTATGTTATGTTTGCAAGTGTGATGCTTGGAAATGATTTCTGTGATTGAAGTTTGCTTGTATGTAATTTGAACTCGGAGAATATGTTGCTGCAGCTCTGATATTGAATGGTAGTTTAGCTAAAGTTAGTTTGATTTAATTGGCACTTGGCAGTGCATAGTGAGCGTGTTGGTGCTTTATGTTGTTCTCTTTGTTTTGTGAAGTTGAGGGCAGCGAAAATGCGCCATTTCCTGTCATAAGATCTGTTTGAGTAGGAGGGACTCCGACATCCAATCATTACTGTGTGTAAAAGCGACAGATTGAGACATACTGTGTGCTTGCTGTTCAAGCTTATTTTGAATCGGTTGCTTTCAAAAGTTCTGTTCTGATTGATTGTTCCTATTGCTTTGATGTTTTAATTGGATACAGAAAATGTCGTCTTCCCAGCCTGGTCAATCGTCTACAAACTCTGCAAGATCGAGGCAGAGTGCTAGGATAATTGCCCAGACGTCCATCGATGCAAAGCTACATGCAGATTTTGAGGAGTCAGGCAGTTCGTTCGATTACTCCAACACAGTTCGTGTGGCGCCTGGTACTGGTGGAGAGCTGAGGCCGAGGTCTGATAAAGTCACCACGGCATACCTCCATCAAATCCAGAAAGGCAAGTTGATCCAGCCATTTGGTTGTTTATTGGCGCTGGACGATAAGACGTTCAGAGTGATTGCCTACAGTAAAAATGCCCCTGAAATGCTCACAATGGTCAGTCATGCCGTGCCAAGCGTTGGTGACCACCCTGTCCTCGGGATTGGATCTGATATCAGATCGATCTTCACTGCTCCTAGTGCCACAGCATTGCAGAAAGCTTTAGGATTTGGGGAGGTGTCCCTGTTAAACCCGGTCTTAGTTCACTGTAAGACTTCTGGAAAGCCTTTCTATGCTATAATCCACAGAGTCACCAGTAGTTTGATCATTGACTTCGAGCCAGTTAAGCCTCATGAGGTCCCGATGACTGCTGCTGGAGCCTTGCAATCTTACAAGCTTGCAGCTAAGGCTATTACACGGTTGCAGGCATTGCCTAGCGGGAGCCTGGAAAGGCTCTGCGATACGATGGTGCAAGAAGTTTTTGAACTCACTGGTTACGACAGGGTGATGATATATAAGTTCCATGATGATGATCATGGAGAGGTGTTTACTGAGATTACAAAGCCTGGGCTTGAGCCATATTTGGGCTTGCATTATCCTGCTACAGACATCCCACAGGCAGCTCGGTTTTTGTTCATGAAGAACAAGGTTCGAATGATATGTGACTGCAGAGCAAATCACGTGCCAGTTGTTCAAGACGAGAAGCTCCCATTTGATCTCACGTTGTGTGGGTCGACACTCCGTGCTCCTCACAGCTGCCACTTGCAGTACATGGAAAACATGAATTCAATTGCGTCTTTGGTGATGTCGGTTGTGGTAAATGAGGGAGATGATGAGGGCACAGCTGATTCTTCGCAGCCAGAGAAGAGAAAAAGGTTATGGGGATTAGTGGTCTGCCATCACACCACTCCAAGATTCGTCCCCTTCCCCCTTAGATACGCCTGCGAGTTTCTCGCACAAGTTTTTGCGATCCATGTCAACAAAGAGCTGGAGTTGGAAAATCAGATGCTCGAGAAAAATATCCTGAGGACTCAGACGCTGTTGTGTGATATGCTGCTGCGCGATGCGCCATTGGGGATTGTCTCCCAGAGCCCCAATGTCATGGATCTTGTCAAATGTGAGGGTTCCGTTTTGCTGTACAAGAGCAAGATATATAGGCTGGGATTGACCCCATCCGACTTTCAGATCCGGGATATAGTCTCATGGCTTGATGAGTATCACAGGGACTCGACAGGTTTGAGCACAGACAGCTTGTATGATGCAGGTTTTCCAGGGGCTCTAGCTCTGGGAGATGCCGTTTGTGGGATGGCAGCCGTCAAAATAACAGATAAGGACTGGCTTTTCTGGTTCAGATCACACACTGCTGCGGAGATTCGTTGGGGTGGGGCGAAGCATGAACCTGGTGAAAAGGATGATGGTAGGAAAATGCATCCGAGGTCATCCTTCAAAGCTTTCTTGGAAGTTGTAAAGACGCGATCTTTGCCATGGAAGGATTATGAGATGGATGCTATCCACTCATTGCAGCTGATTCTAAGAAATGCATTTAAAGAAGCAGAGGGTGACAATTCGGATGCCATTGCTATTCACACAAGGCTTAGCGACCTGCAAATTGATGGAATACAGGAGCTTGAAGCCGTAACATCCGAGATGGTCCGTCTGATCGAAACCGCCTCTGTACCTATCCTAGCTGTGGATGTAGACGGTCTAGTGAATGGCTGGAATACCAAAATCTCTGATCTGACTGGCCTTCCTGTTGATAAAGCCATCGGGAGACATTTTCTCTTACTCGTTGAAGAGTCTTCGGCGGATACAGTCAGCAAAATGTTGGAACTGGCACTTCAAGGTAACATTTTTTTAAATGAAATGACTAGCGTACGGACTTATTATACGTGCTCTAACACACGAATCTTGTGTTCCATTATGTTCAGGGAAGGAAGAAAGAAACGTACAATTTGAGATAAAAACGCACGGACCAAGGAGTGAAGCCGGTCCTATCAGCTTAGTGGTGAATGCCTGTGCGAGCCGGGATGTCAAGGAGAATGTTGTGGGAGTGTGTTTTATCGCGCAGGACATAACAGCCCAGAAGAGCATGATGGACAAGTTCACAAGAATCGAAGGAGATTACCGTGCTATTGTCCAAAATCCCAGCCAGTTAATCCCACCTATTTTCGGGACAGATGAGTTCGGATGGTGCTCCGAGTGGAATGCAGCCATGACTAAAATATCTGGGTGGCGTAGAGAGGATGTGATCAACAAGATGCTTCTAGGCGAGGTCTTCGGCATAAACAAGGCTTGCTGCCGTCTGAAGAATCAGGAGGCGTATGTGAACCTTGGGGTTGTGCTCAACAGCGCTGTCACGGGCGTAGACTCTGAGAAAGTACCATTTGGGTTTTTTTCTAGGACCGGGAAGTACATCGAATGCTTGCTTTGCGTCAGCAAGAAGTTGGACGGGGAGGGAGCTGTGACGGGAGTCTTCTGCTTCTTACAGCTTGCGAGTCAGGAGCTGCAGCAAGCCCTCCACGTGCAACGGTTGTCTGAACAAACAGCGCTGAAGAGGCTGCGAGTCCTGGCTTACATAAGAAGGGAGATAAAAAATCCTCTTTCGGGGATCATCTTCTCCCGGAAGATGATGGAAGGGACTGATCTGGACGATGAGCAGAAGAACCTCGTGCGCACCAGCATGCACTGCCAACTGCAGCTGAACAAGATTCTGGACGACACCGATCTTGATCATATAATCGAAGGGTGAGTGAGTTGAACGGTCGTAATTTTGATTCACATGCCTCTGCACATTGAACTAACTATCATTATTATTATTATTCTTCTCAGGTACTTGGATCTGGAAATGGTGGAATTCAAGCTGCAGGAGGTGTTGGTGGCTTCGATCAGCCAAGTGATGATAAAGAGCAACGGGAAGGGGATCATGATCGCGGATAACTTGGAGTCGAGCGTGACGAAGGAAAAGCTGTATGGGGACAGCCTAAGACTTCAGCAGGTGCTGGCTGCCTTCTTACTAACAGCGGTTACTTATACACCCGACGGAGGCCAGCTGGGCATCGCGGCCAAGTTGACAAAAGACTCGATTGGGGAAACCGTGCAGCTTGGCCGGGTCGAGTTCCGGTCAGTACTCTCTCTCTCTCTCTACTAAGGATAGATGATAGGATATGTTTCGCAAATCTGATCGGTATTGGTATTGGTATTGGTACTGGTAGGATAACGCACACGGGAGGCGGGGTGGCGCAGGAGTTGCTGAACCAGATGTTTGGGGACGATCCGGAGACGTCGGAGGACGGGATCAGCCTGTTCATCAGCAGGAAGCTGGTGAAGCTGATGAATGGAGATGTGCAGTATCTGAGGGAGGCTGGGCGATCCACGTTCATCATCACAGTTGAGCTCGCCATCTCCATAACTAGGTAAGCGTAAATTAACCCCCCACCCCACCCATGTTTTTCTATTTTTTTGTTTTTTTTAAAAGAAAACTTTGTTTTAGTTGATGGTTTCTTCTTGGCCTATGCTGTGGTTGTGGTTGTGGTGTACATATGCATAAATATATAAGTATTATGTTGTGTGTGTCCAGAGAGAGAGAGCTAGGTAGCTATATTGCTACATCTCCAATCATATTGCAAGTTTAGGATACTTCTCTCCTCTCCTCTCATCTCCATTTTCATTTAGGATAATTAAAGGTTTGCATGGGTGGGTCTCCTGGTTTCCTTACTATCAGTGGCGGATTTAGAAAATTTTTTTACAGGTGTCACAATATATGTTAAAATAATAATAATAATAATAATATAAAACAATTTTTGTATATTTATATTTTAAAATATAAATTAATTATGTTATTTAGATTGAATTTTAATTATTGGGCTATTGATAACATTTTAAATATTAAAATTTAAACGGTTCATCTGAATTTTTGGGATAAAGATTAATTTCAAATTTTAAATGGTGGCACTCCAATTTTTTTAATGGTTGCATAATTATTAAATTATAAAATTTTCTTCTGGTGGTATAAAAATGAGTGGCCATCACCGAATATAATGTAGACTCGCCCCGCTTACAATGTATGGAATGTTTTTGCACTATACTTCGTCCTTATTGAAAAATTTTGCATTATACTTGTTATGATATAGAATTTGTACGAGACAAAATTCTTTAAATATTGCATAAAGTTATCTCGGTTTTTTTTTGTGATCATAAGAGGTTCAATGCTTCGATCAACTTTCATCTAATCTAAAATTGTTTGTATGATTGATTGATTAAGATAATAAAAATAACATCATTAAAATCTAAGAAATAAATTGCTTAAGCAATTCAGTATCTTTAATCATTTCAATTCATTACCTTAAGGATCTAGTTGATTAAAGTCATAAATTAAGACCATTCAGACTAAAGTACCCAAATGCTAACAAACTACTCAATCAATCATGAAACAAGGTGAATAATGTGGGAAAATAAAATAAAATATAATAGTATTAATTCTCTTTTATAATTTTTACTTTATATCTTCATACCCAATAAAAAAAACTATTTTCTAATATTATATATATTTATATTACAATTATATTTGATTGATTTATAAAAATATGATATTTTATTTAAACATAATACTACTACAAATACATATATTTATTTATAATCATTCATTTTATTTATATTTAATTCTATCACTATTAATATTTTAAATAAATTAATAATTTAAAATTATTTGATTGGTGTGTTAGTTTTATATTTTTAATCACTATTAATATTTTAAATAAATTAATAATTTAAAATTATTTGATTGGTGTGTTAGTTTTATATTTTTAATCACTATTAATATTTTAAATAAATTAATAATTTAAAATTATTTGATTGGTGTGTTAGTTTTATATTTTTAATTTGAGATGTTTTTTACATTAAGTATGAGAATGTTGAATTATTGCATTTTTAGTCTATATATTATATATTATATATTTTGTATAAATTTGTATATATTAAATTTTTTAATATTAATCGAAAACTTTATTAATTTTTTTTTTATTATTGAAACACATCTAATTTGGTAAAAATAAATGAATAAAGTTCAAAAAAGGAGATGAATATACGAGTTTAATTTATCACAACAAATAAAATTTGTGAGAGGACAATTATGTCATTTAAAGTATAACAAAAAAAAAAAATTCAATTAATCTATAAAACAAATTGAATTTCGAAAATATAAATTTTGGATAATTTTATCAACCAAATACAAGATATGATTCCAAATTTTAAATACAATAAATCTATCTGTCGCATGTTGAATTACTATTCTCATAATATAAATGCATCATGTTAGCACAGATTTTGAAAACAATTAGAATACATAATTAAACTCTACAACTATACATAGTAGTATCATTAAAGAATTCATCCATTATACTTCACCTCTTGTACTACTTCCTCCGTCCGGTTCTAAGGATCTCATTTACTTTTTACGTATTGATCTTTAAATATTAATTATTATATCAAAATGCAGCAAATTAAAAAAAATTGCAAAAATACTTCTATTAGTGTTTCATAGTACTAGTAGAATGACACTTGTACAAAAAATCGTACAAATATAAAGATATTTTTAATATTAAGTATAAATAGTAAATGTAATCCTTAAAGACAGACGGAGAGAATATTACTTTATTAGAATTAGAGTTAAGTTTTGTTTTCTTTCGATTCTATCTTACTTTGTGCATTTTCCAGCACATACTCACTAAGTGGTATTTGGAATTATCTCACAACTTAAAATGAGTAAATTCGACCTAAAAACTCATCAGTAAAAATAATATAAAATTTATCTTTGATGCAACAAGTAATTACGTTTTGACTTCATTTTATTCTATATTTGTCACCAACTATAAGTTATAAAGACAAGTTTTGCATTATCCTTTCCTATATTTCTTGACATTCATTGTTGAGATAGCAAATAATCAAATCATCGGATTCGAGACTCACATTGTGCGTGAACTTCTTAACGCGAATTCAGTTCGTCATCAATCGCTTTCAATGATAAAATGAATGGATCAGAATAACAAATTCTATAGCGAATCGAACTTAAGAAAATATAAATTTGTATAAAATATGACTGGAAGTAAACTTACGACCGAAAGAGTAAAAAAATTAGTATTATATGAAATTAAAGTCTATCAATGGGACGAGGAAGAAGAAATTGACTTTCGGCCCACACAACTTTCATGCCAAAGCCCAAACATTGGCCCCAATTAAATTTTTAGCCAAATTAGTTTATTTACAATTATTAAAGTCCAAAATTATTTAAGATGAGTATAAGTATTTTATGCTTTTAATGTGGGACAAAGTTTCATTTTCTTTCTCTTTCACTGCTCAGTACACTGAACAAAACTAGCAAAATTGAAGAAACTCTAGGTACAATAAAATTCAAATAATACTTCCTCTATTATCTAACTTATGCAGTACAAATATTTAAAAGAGTGGGTAAAAATATATATATATTTTTTCTTTTTGTAGGCCTAAAAAATAATTTTCAGTCTAAAACTTTTCATCGGAGGAATTGTTGGATTTCCGGGCAGCTCGATGCGAATTCTTGGTGATATACGATAAATTTATAAATAAATAACATAAAAATAAAATTTAAAAAAATGATACAAACGAGTTGTATTGATTCAACATTATTCTACAAAATAGAAAAGAAAAAATTACAAAAGATAAAAAAATAAAATGATAAATTTTGTGGATGAAAACTTGATTTTTCTTCTCACACGGCTTCTCTTCTCTTTTATGCAAAATACCTTCATAAATTGACATTCAAGTGCTTTAATTTCTCACGGTAACATTTATCCCACTTTTCCATGTCTACAATCTATTACCAATGAATTAATTCGATTGCATATCTTTTTCATTATTACTTCCATAACAACCATTTGATGGTATCATTTATGTATTGGCAATGATAATTCATTCCATAACTCTCCATTCCAAATGTCAACCATCCTATGTTATCGATTAAGTTAGTTTTTTCACTGCGTTTGCATTCTTTTGGATTGCCGCCAATATCCACCATTGACCGATTCAATTTGAATGCTTGGACCTGATGTTAACAAAATTATATTACGTCGGTCCAAGTCATTTTGATCCAATCGATTAAAATATTCTGGAATCGGTCCGCCATTATTGATGAAATTTTCGTGTGACAACGTAATATCTCTATATTTCACAAAATATTGAAATATTATATATAAAATACATTTTGTGAAATATATATACCTGAATCACCCATGGGAAAAGTTGATTGGCTTGCCAAAAAAAAAAATGATAGCTTACCACAACAAGTTTCCATTAATTGGATCGACTCGACTTGGCAACCAACTGTATCAAAAAAAGCCTCACTAAAATTGGCGACAACATTTGATGCCAATTCCATATAGCGAATAGTGCGATTTGACCCAATCTCATCATACCCTCACTTCTTCACTTGATTGAAATGATCAACTCAAAATTAAATATCATACGTGGCAGTTTATGCTGTCGACAATGTTTCTTTTGAGCAATGTATCTTGATTCGGTCTCGGGATCTAACTATGTGTATTCGGATGAGGTCTCGATCCCTACATTTTGAATCAAATAAATGTAATAGGTTATTTTTAACTTTAATTTGATTGATGGTCCAAATAATTTATATTTAATAAATAGTTGAATTTTTAATTCAATTTTGACCATTATTGTTCTTTTTTTCTTTTTGTAAATTTCATTAAAAAATATATAAAAAAATTTTAATTTGATTATATTTGTAGTTATTTTAATATTATATAATTTTATTACAAATTATTTCTAAATCTTTACAATGTATTCATTGTTCTAAAATTATACTCCCTCCGTCCACAAACTAACGCCCTACTTTCCTATTTGAAATGTCCAACAATTATTGTCCTCTTTCTATTTTTTTATACACAAAATTTACTCTTTTACCTTACTTTATTTATTCTTTCATTTTCTATACACAAGATTAAAGACAAATTTGTCATTTTATAACAAAACCCTAATTGCCTAAAAATGTGTGTAAATATCAAATAGGACATTAGAAAATAGACGGAGATGATATTGAATATACCGTTGCACAATAATGATAAATTACGTGTTTAGTTTATATTTGAAAATAGGTAAGTATATATTTATTTTATATATAGATGAATATTGTACAAGAAGAATAATAAAACAACTTCGCTTGAAGCAATACAAGCATAGACCATATTAAAACTTCAATTTGATAATTAACATCATCGATGCCGAATGTCATAGACTTTATCGTACTTATGAACTTTCGAATGACCCTCCGAATTATCCAAACGTACACACAAAAGAAGGTATACTTGAAAAAAAAAATGAGAAATTGGACATGACAATTAAATTTGTAGGTATATTTCAAAATATATAAATATTTTATTATTCTATTTATAGTAGTTCATCCGTTCTAATTCACAATATTCTTTTTACTATTTTTCGTTTGTCTCACTCAAAAGTATTTCTTTCTATTTCTAGTAAAAATAATCAT